GCTGCAACTCTGTGGCTGCGCTTTCCCTATGGAGGACGTCCTTGCAAGGCACCGTGGCACGGCCTATGCTACAACGGTTGCAGCTGCTTACAGGAGAACTACTAGTTACTGGTTTGTTAAAAGTAAAGTATTACTTAGCACTCACGCTTGGCCTTGACCACCTTAAACCAAGCCTCTTCTAACACAGTGTGATTTCACTCGTTTTAGTGGATTTACATGGTACAAAACTGGCATAGGATGCAGTTCAGCTCCCCAGTTAACAAAGAGGTAAGAACTCCCAAGTTTTCACCATCTTGGTGAAATCTCTTCTGTTACAGTGCTCTGTAACAACACAAGCAGGGAAGACAGCAAAGCAGGAGGCACGCACTGAATATCGCAGCTGTTACCTCTGGGCACGGAGCCATTATGCAACTGACAGCGTACCAGCAACACCCCTCCAGCCAGCCGTGCGGCTCCCATCGAACTTCCCCGGAAGACGAGCGGCTACGCCAGCCTTTGGACTTGGCTCTACTTGCTGTATTTCACAACAACGTTGATCCCGGCAGACTGTCACACACAGGCAAAAATGACACATGCCTGACAGCACCGTCACAGCAGTCTAGGTTGGCAAAGTCCCTCTTGAGTAAAAGAGACTCCAGCTGCCGAGCAGGAGTAGGTCAGCTGAAATTGCATTCTTTGCATACTTTCACTTAGCAGCCAGGCAAGAGCCTGGAGCGCTGTTCACTGCCACCGGCAGCAGTCAAGACAGACCAGAATTGTTTGTTCTGCCATTACTTGTTCTGCTCTACAAACTGGCATCTAAACAATCGTAGGTAGCAATGTTTTACCTAAAAGCTAACCACTGATACTTCTTAAATGAGCTAACAACCTCTAAACATGACTGGGACTTGGGCTCTTGCCTTGAAGTCACATATAAATGATTGCAATTCTTGCACTTTTCTGATTCTTAACATACAGAAAACCTCTGCTCCTTCCAATTATGAAGGATGAACATGTGACTATTTATATGCATTTAACGGCAATTTGTGTGCACAACTAATACTGACACAGTTACTGTCTGTGGAACAAACAAGTTTCTTTGGTTTTAGCTCATGAGTAACACAGCTGTTTAAAGTTAATAACAAGTACTATTAAACCGCAGTCTAACATATCCCCATGAATTCAGATTTTTCCAAATGTGAAAGAATAAAATAGCAGTAGCCTGTAATTTGAACTATCTAGATTAATCTGATTTATGAGACACACTGAAGGTAATAATAGATGAAGACTTGAAAGATGTTACCTTTTGGTGTCCACCACTGTCAAATTCGTAAAAAAGAGCTACTGCAAATTAAATTCATCTTTTAATCAGCAGCTTTTCAAATTTTGGGAGTACAGGAAAATGTTAGTTTGACAACTCTAAAGCTTTCCTAATTACATTCCCTCCTTCTGTTACTAACACCCACCACACACACACTCCGTTCCCTCTCCCCTCTTTCCCCAAGCAGCATATCCTGTCTTACAATAACTTTTAACAGTTCTAACATTTCTGTGAAGCCCATACAAGCTTTGATTTTACTTATAAGCTTGTTCTATAGATGACTTGCTGTTTTCAAAAACCTACAATGAGACAGTGAAAAAACCATCCGCACCTTCGATAATCAGGTCAGCACAAGCAGTATCTGCTTCTGCTGTAAGCATGTATTTTACATACTCATTCATTATATCAACACCAGAACTACTACACTGTGATTCCAGAGAATCAGTAACAGATAAATTCAAGCTGTAAGTAGGTTTCACAGCCCAAGGGAAGCCTTAACACTGCAACATCTCCTTCAACAGGATCCAGACTAGTTCAGCTGAACGACAGCAGTCACATCCTCTGAATGCAGGAAGTAGCGAAAGCTCTCCTATTCTTAGTAGTCATTGCCATAAGTGTCCTCATCTGATAATGTTTTCTAATCTAAATTCTCCCCAGACATTACATGTTTTTCCTCCATAAAACATCACATTTTTTTCCTAAATAACAAATAAAGAAGGCAATGCAGATACACTTTTAAACCACAAACTACCAATGCTGACAAAGAAATTCAAAGTGAAGTGGGACAGAAAATCTGAGGAATTATTCTTTTAGATATCAATATACACATACTACTTGCAAGCGTATATGCCACCTTAGGAGTATTTTACAAGTTGAATTAACTGGTAGACCCTATGCTGTATGATATATACATGTGTATAAACGTATGTATACACATCATAGCTTGCTGTTGCACGGTGCAAAGCAGCCTGGAACACTCCCTAAGCAAAAAGAAAAGCAAAAGTCATAGGAAAGTTTTAGACAAACATAGGTAGATTCACCAAACACAGTCAAACAAAGGGTATGCTGAAACACCCAAGTGTGTAAACACAGTATTTAAAATTATGTATCACAACCCACGCTTGTATCTATTTTACTATCAGATGAAGTTTTTAGATTTTTTTTTTTAAAAACTTTTCAACCCTATATGCAACTTCAGCCATATCAAAGCAAGCCAAGAATACCATGCACAAGACATGCCACACAATTTTACAGGCTCCATTTGCAATTATACTACTTTTTCCTTCTGCTGAAGAGCCTCCTTTTGGAGGTCTATTATTTAAAGGCATTCTTTTTGTATGCAGCTTTTCTGATTTAACTCTGCACAAACTAGTTAACATTCTTTTAAAGAGATATTTTGTCCACAAAATCATCTGGAAAAGTAATTATCAGGAAATGAAGATACCATGATTTTCGTAAGTTGCACTACAAGAAACACAAACCAAAACACACAGAGATCAAGCCTAGGAGGGACCTGAAAGCTTTCTGTAGGGCAGTATTGAGCATACCGCTAGCAAGTAAACTTGGAGCAGAAAAAGTTTCTTCACACTTTCCTACTTAAATACAAATCAAGGTTTCAAAGCACACACAGAATTTAAATTTAAGATCCTCCTTGAGAGTTTCTTGTCTCAGACACAGGGTAAACTCTCACAGCCTTACCATGGATCACATGCCACAAAATTAAGTCTCAAGACTGCAAGTGATTTGCAACCTGATACCAGACACCTGAAACTTCATGCACATTAAAAGATCAGCACGCCAATTAAAGGGAAAAGCACAAGCTCTGTGTTAGAAAGTTTAATTCAAAGGGAGTGGGGGTATGTCAAGATCTGCCATGTTTTCAACACAGCATTCTAAGCAGCATGACCCATTGTGAGAACAAAACCCACCAAAGCAAACAAACAAAAAACCACAACACATTGTCATGCCTACTAACTTACACAGGCCTTTTTCCAGACTTTTTGTAGTCCTTGCCCTGAAAGGGACTTAAGCAACATTTACTACATCAGAACTCAACTGATTTTTTGCAACTGAAATTTGGATACTAATACCAGTCCATAAAATTGTACTATTTTGTGATTGGTTCCGAAAGTTTAAACTGGCTCTGTCTAGAAGCCAAGATAAACTAACAGAACAAAAGTGAGTTTAAAACAACAAAAACAAAACAAACAAAACCATCAGCACCAGTTCCTATTGCTTCAGCAGTTTGATACAAGAACTGCAGTATACTTCAGTGTAACTTACGCAACTAATTAGAAGGCTTTAAGCACATGTAACTATTCAGCTAGTAGCACTATTACTACATGCGTTACTCTTAGAATAACACGAATAGCTTTAGGAATGCTGGTAAATCCGTATTTGGAGTGGGGGAGGAAGGAAGAGAGGCAATAAAGAAGGTACTACTCTCAGGGCTCTCTCATACCATTAAATGCCTCAAGTATAAGCAGCTCATTCATTTTTTGAAGACGCATTGTCTTCCGACTACAGTTGAGCTACTTGTAGGTTATTTTGAAGACTTATGTAGAAAAGCCTTTACCTTCTGTGAAGTAACACTGAAGTTGAGAGGATTCTCCAAAACAGTGCATAAATGAAACAATGATGACATTTAATTGCATTGCAGTTCAATTTGGGGTTGGTTTGTATGTTTTTTTGTGATGTTAACAGTATCCCTAAAGGAGGTCAACTGAAAATAATTCACGTAACTAGAAAAGACAGACATATTTCATGTTAAAACACGTAGCAAAATGGGGTGAAAAATAACTCAGTGAAAAGGAAGTTCCTTAAGCACTGAAAGCAAACAAAGACTAGCTTTTCTGCCCCCATCCAAATTAAAGGCCTAACATAAACTAGAGGATTATGGCGCAAAACTATTATTATAGTGCAAGCATGATGAGTATTCCTCCCACCGAGTGTTGACATGAACTGCTCTGGTTCTTCCATCAGAAATTTAGGGGTTTTTTTAAACATGGAACTGTAGCAACACAAAATGACACCACTGATACATAAGTTATCTTGCTTTTGCTGCTTTTCAGCAACGCATTTATTTTGATAAGGAAAATCCACACACATTAAAATCATTTTTATTTTTCAGCATTTTGACACTAAAAGTGAATGTCTTATGTTACAATTTTCTACAGGATGGACACAAGTTTAGCTATTTGTATTACTCAAAAAAGCATATTAAAAAGGAAAAAAATTAATCTTAACAGAAAAAAAACACTATGGCTTTGCTACAAATTACCATGTTTGTCCCAAAGTTCACAAAGTAAAGCCTCCCCATAGCTATAGCCTACACAATAACTGTACCTACAGTAAAAAATATTGACTATTAACTAATGTTCTCAGCTTTTTATAAGTAGCACTTTAAGAATAAGTAGTATGATTTATTGCGATTTTGTACCAAGCAGTAAGACTGAACATCTGTATGTTGCAGATTTAAGCACACCAAAATGTATACATTCACTTTAAAAAACTGTTGCTTATCACTCTTCACTGGTAGTACTGAAGTCAGCTGCCTGCTCAACTAGGTTACACAATATAAAGTGTTTCCACATGCTTCCACTGAGAAAAATATTTAACTGCATGAAAGTAGTAACTCTCACCTTAGAAGATGAAACTGTAGCAGAAAATGCAGCAATGCCCTCTTCATACAAGAATAAAACTTCATATGGAATTTTCACACTTCGAGAAAACATCTCTACATGAGTATTCAAAGATAATTACATAAAGCTGTGTTGGAAAGACCTTGCTTTTTAAAAAAAGAAAAAAAGACCAATGCTAAAGTCAGAATTTAGACTACCTCAGATATGAACCTTGACCTAAAAAAGTATTTTAGTAGCAAATTATATTGATGCAATTTTTATTTTCCACACATATTACTAATAAATAAGTTCTTCTAAGACATCTCTTGCCAATTAGATTTGTATTCAGCTCCTACAACACTGTAAGCACTAAAATGAAGAGATACATTTAAATGATGTTACACTTAAACAGAGTTACTAATGTGATACTAAGACTTTTACAGAAACGCAAACAGGTTTACAGTTACATTTACTAAAAAGTTACAGTAATCTACAGAAAAGGTTGTCGTTGTACTCTCCCTACATCTAAGAGATCAAATTCAGTTACATTGCTACCGAAAAAAATGCATACAAAAATGCATTTCCCTTTATCACCTGTATTAAAATCCTCCTCTGCAACTACCTATAGAGATACAAGTACAACTTATTTTCTGTACAAAGGAACAGCTTTAAAAAACACAGCTTCACATTTTACTACATTTTTGCCCTTCTCAGCTTCCAAGTTCTTGCAAAAACAAATATACAGTTTCTCAAAAATGAATTTAAAGGATGTCCACATTAAAAAAATAAAGCCTACAAAAAGTTCAAAGGTCTAAAAAAATGTTACTCCTATGGCAAAGTGATCTCCTACTAGTCCAAAGTCCAGAAAGTTACTGATGTCCAAATATTATCTTGCTTCATTTATCCAATTTATCAGGTTCCAATCACATTATTTGTAAGAAGTCCTTGAGCCGATGAGAGGGCAGAAGAGAGTTCTCTACAATTAAAAATAGGAGATCAATCGGGTGTGCCTTTCAGAAAGATACTCACTTAGCACTGTCCCGAGAGACAATACTCATATATTTAGAGAAAGGATTTCCTTGATTAGTTTCCATAGACTGATAAACCAGAAACAAGAAGACCGAAACAACAACAAAGAGAAGAATTTTTATCCACAGGGGAACAGAGCGTTCTTTTTTTGTTGGTGGTTTCTCCGACCTGATGTCAGTTGAGGTACCATATTTTGGAGCATACTTAGAGAAAATATCCTCCATTCTGAAGTCACTGTGTTCTATAGGCCGGCTAGCAGCTCCTTTGATTGGTCTACGGCAGCTAGCACTGTAATGAAAAAAATTAAAATATTGCATATTTAAAATAGCAATCTAAGGTATACAGGAGAATTTTAGTATAATTATAGAACTAAAAATTATTTCTAGTGAATGCAGTACCTGAAATATCCGTCTCAAACTCCTAACATGTCTATCACTACTATTTTTAAAGTCAATCATCCAGTGTTCAAACACCCCTTAAAAAAACCCTCAAATGCCAATTTACTTCACCCTATCCACATGATGGATCATTAACTGGCAATAAAACTCTAGGAAGCATCTGTCTGTCTCTCTCCGCATCTTTACCGGTCACTTATGCAGCCGTACTGCACTAAACCTAAGATTGTCCGTGGCTATTAGGGTATCTACTGATGGCTAAGCCAATACACAGAGCCACAAGACAAAGCAGTAAGGGTTAAGAAACCCACGTACATTGCCAAGTCCTTGTATACAAGGAGTACACATGCATGATTTTTAATAAAAAGTTACATAGATTTAACTAGACTGATAGACCTCAAAACAAAAAAGAACAAAAGTTGAGTGGTGATCAGATACGCCACAGTGGTAGTAACTGGCACCATATATTCTCCTTCTGGTAAAACTTCATGCAATTGCAGTTTAAATTGAAGCTATAATTAACATATTGGAAACACAGGAGTTTATTTCACCTCTTAACATAAGGAAACTTTTTCCCATAATCTCTAAACAGGACAAAGTTTTGTGAATTGCTTAATTATACAGAGGGTTGCTTCAATTTTTGTTTAAATACAAAGTTGCAAAGAAAAATTTAACAGCCCTTACTAGATGCCATCCTTACTCATGCTAAGAGTAATCTTTGACTGCAACAGGACGACTACTACTACTAAAAAGGGAAAATGGGCTATTTGAAAATTCTTTTTGGCTTTCAAAAAGAAAGCCCAGATCTATGCTGGGAGATCTTTCCCAAATTTAACAGCAGGCCTAAAGCAGTTGCGTCTAGCCAAAAATCTAAATATTGTGAGCCATTACCACAGAGAAGCTCTTTCCATTTAAATTCCAGCATCCAGAAGTTCCTGTAATTCCCACTACAGTACTAACCTGTCCTACTACCTCCATTTTAAATAAAGAGGCTGTTTTGGCTAACAAAACTATGCATATAGAGAACAGAAAAGCTAGGTGGCCATCTCAACTCTCATTGAATTAGAGTGCAGAAACTGTTCCTCAGAATGTACCAGTATAATCAAAACATACTTCTCAGCTTAAATAGGTTTACAAGAACTGAGAAACAAGCCCACATAAACCTTAGAAATACCTAATTCCTGTAGGCGTTGATACTTCATAAGGGAACATTTCCTTAAGAATATCCCTTTCTACTCTTCGTTCTTCTGTATGAGTTCTCTCCAGCACCTAGGAAACAAAAACAGTTACAGGCCTAACAGACCGCAAAAGAAAAAGCTCCTGCGTAGCTATCTCAGTGACCATAACCATGTGCAATTTGTAAGAATGAATGAGTCACCCAGTGTCACACACCAAGTTTACTTCTTGGGTTTTAGAAGTTAGTTTAACCTTTGTTAGTGGCAGCCGTCTGGTCACTTTTAGTGCCTTAAAGCATTCAGTGCTCTCCTCAGTTTCCTTTAAGATAAAGAATATGTTGTATAAATACAATACACCTGCCAGCCAGTGACGTAGATGATCAAAAAAGCTTAACCATCACCTCTATCATGGCTGTGTTGAGCAGATCACAGGATTGGTTGGGGCCAACATGATTAAAAAAGCAATGATGTGGGCAATCGGTCTCTTCTTGCTGTAACAAACAATGCCACAGTACAGTAGAATACTAACTGAAAAAAACTTACGCAGTCTGAAATAGAACATCATTTTTCCCCACAACCTTCTATTCGACAACTAAGTCTACACTGCAGTCATATTATAAACAAATAAAGCAGCCCATTTCATAACTCTCAGACCCACTGGTAGAGTAGGCTTCACAAATGTTAATAGAAGTTTTACCCACAGTAACTACATGAAGCAATGAACTCCAATTAAATTCAGACAAGCATTATCTTGTAATGCAGAATTCCACAATATCACAGTACTGCACTAATACAACTACACATACTTTCACGTGCTTTAGGCAGTTCTCCAAGAGATATGATTTTGACAGCTTGAATAGGTTAATGGTAAAAGCATTATCTTTCTTGATAACTGACAGGAGTCTACAGATGCTTTTTAAATTCTGGCTTTTGGTCTAAAGTAATGCTTTTGGTAAAGTAAGGCTTTTGGTCTAAAGTAATCTATTTGATTCCCTAAACTAACGCACACTGTGGCTTTTCAGGACAGGCTGATTTACAAGATCAAAGGTAGATAACCCAGTTCTGCTGTCTTTGAGCTATTCAAAGACAAAAAAAAGAGTCTATGTTTTGTAGGACAAATACAAGGAGAAATAACACACCAAAACTCACTTCACTTAGGGGGGGAAAAAAAAAAAGCAAAGCAAAGCAGGATTTGCACACACACCCCCCCCCAAATCTGAAAGGAGAAGACAAAAATAAGTTTATATTCTCTCTTTTATGCCATGTGACAAAGCTAGTCTATTTTGACTAGTGCCCCTTGGGCAGTGACGTCCTCCACCCTTTCTGTACTAAGGGGTAGGTACATACACACAAGAATCTTGTTCACAGAGAGTAAGCAAGAGCAATCTAAGTTTTAATTTATTTACTTCAGCTGTCATCAGTGGTTTCTTTGGTGTTCTTCTGGGCATGTCTGACAGTTCACTGATTGACAGTGTAGGAGCTGCATGCTTGAAATTTCCAGGCACCCTATTGACAACCTGCCAAGATTCAAAATTGTTCAAACTCAGAATCAGCCAAAATACAAAATAAAAAGGATGAAGGGGGCATAACCAAACAACAAAACCTTTATGTGCATTGAATATATGCATGTTAGGAGTTAAGAAGGTTATGTAACAGATACTCTGAAATAAGCACAGGAAACACATTGCTTATCATTCCAAGTAGTTTCTTTTAAGCCATTTAGAAACAAAAGCTATTTAGTTCAAATGAAAAGACAAACTTAAAAGCAGATATTCTGCATGTACTTAAATAAAGAAAATATCTAAATCTTTAACGTAGTTCTTCTCAACCCTCCCCCCAAAAAGACATTAGATGGGACCTAGGTGTCTAGCTCCCATCTCACGGTGAACAGCATTAGGTACTGATACAGATACCGAACATGCAGTTTCCAAGACTACTGAAGAGTCTTGCTTTCCTTACAACAGTCTATCTATTCAAAACAGAATGGTTCTGTCAGTAAAGATATATTACAGAAGAATACCACTTGCACGATTTATAGAACATATTTACTAAGCATATTTACTAGGGTCTCGTTGCTTGCAGTCAATATAGTTTCAGCTATAGGAGTACTCTCTGTTATTACAGCATCATCTACAGGCAACTGTGCTGTAGCTTCCACCTGTTTGTTTAAAACAAATAAAAGAAAACAATTGAATAAAATAGCCACTGGGACCCTAACAGTGAGAAAAAAAGTTTGTCTATTATAAGAAGCCTCTCATCACCCTTCTCCTTGGTGTTCTTCTTGACACTCTTGTAGACTCCCTAGAAAATGCCTGCAGAGGTCCACTTTTTGAAGATCCACTTGTCCAGACAGTCTCAGTAACTCCATCTTGAGAATAGGTCTATTCAAGCATCAAACACATGATCAAATACATGAAAGCCAGCTCTCAACATTGGATGCCCACAAACAAAAGCCAGAATAGCATGCATACTCCAGAAGCAGTGTGTCTACAATCAAAAAAGTGGATCCTAATATATTCAATAATGAACAGCTAGCTAGATTAGTAGTGTTGACCACAATACTTAGAGTACATTATTGTTCAAATACAGAACTGAATAGATAACGCCCAACAGTAAAAACTGATAATCTGCTCACTGCCATAGACCAAACTAACTAATGCGACAAGTAGTTACATCAAGTCATGGACAGCAGATATGCTAGCTTTCGGGCCCATTGCATTACCTGCCTACAATGCGGGGGGGAGGCAGGGGATCTATGAGCATGAGCAGAAAGCATCACCTTTTCTCTACCTGGAGAGCGGTCTGTTCTCTCAGGCAGAGATTGAAATGGTTTAGGCACAGCCACCTACATTTCAACAGCAACTAATCTCCAGCCACAGGGGGCAGCAGAGTTGTTTTATCATTTTAAAATTTTCCATATACAGAGATAAAACTCACACAATTTGCACGTAAGAGTAGGTTTAAACTATCAAGCCTGACACAGATCTTTACAAATCTAAGTAACAACATGAATTTTTTATAGCCATTAACAAAACCACAAATCATTCCCTATGCCTTATTGCCAGTTTTATGCTCAATGAAAAAATCCTCCTCAAAACTAATTCCAGACATACACCTGGAGGGAAAGGGAGATGAGGGTCTGCTGCTTCTATATTGTATACAAGATTTTCCTTTTTATTTGGTTAAGTTTAAAAATAAAAATCGTTACTTTGTTAATGCTGTAATCTTTGCACATTAAGACCTCATGCATTTATGTATTACCAAGTTTTTGTAAGTTACACTCAGTGCTGATGGAAGTTATACAGAGTGGTGCAACTGTCAACGACAGGCCTAACAGCAGAAATTAATTCACTGGAACAGTATTAGCCCCAAAACAATGTGTTAAGAGAGCAGGCTGGAAAGTATTTACTTATTGAGAGGGGAAAAAAAAAAAGTCTATCAATGCCCTCATCCATTCCCCACTTGCACCTTCCAAGTTACCCCAGCGAAACTAGAAGCTGAGCAGCTTTATGATTCTCAGCACAAGTTCTGCATTACAGCTGCCACACATCCAGCAGAGGGAGCGCACGTGCTTCACTTTACTCCAAAGTCACCAAAATATTTTGAAAAACAGATGATGTACATTTATGCACAGACCTCAAGTCCAAAGACTCAAATGTTTCGTATAGAATTGTACATTTCAGCTTAAGTCTCCAATATTCTTTTCAATTTAAACAGACTTCTAATGAAAGATCTCCCAACCCCTCCCTATATATTCACCAGATGCTGGTTTCTCTTCCCCATTAAGAAAAGCTTAACCTGCAACCTTCAGTCACAGCTCCCCACCTCACCTCCATACACTTTCTATTTGAGAGGTGTTCTTTAGAAGCTTAGAGAAAAACACTAATTTCAGAGTGGTTCCACTCAAACACATTCCACTCAAGAAAGCAGTAAGGCAATTCCCTCACCCTACTCATTAAGAGCTCTCCTGTCCCAGCCTGTTTATCTAGGAACTAGTTTTCTTCTAATGAACAGCTAGAATTACTTCAGTAAATTACCACCTCTCTCCTTCGATCTTCAGATGCTTCTCAGTCACGTGTTTTAAGTACCAAGACCCATCCAGACTTCAGCAGAGCATATTCAACACACAAAATTTAATAAGAAAAATTGTTGTATACAGTTAGTTATATTTACTGTCCATTGAACAGGCCTTGTCTGCTTATCTCACAAATATCTGAACTAAATAAACCCTATTAGAATGCAATACTCATGTTTTGGTACACCAACACCCTGTATATACCAGAGGAAGTTACAATGGTGCGGTACACAAGCACTAATCAGCACGTGCTTCTCTCATGTTACTCACAAGCAGTGAAGCTATAGATTATGAGTTTACATCAGCTATCACTTACCAAGTTTTTTATTTGGTGTATACCCCATGAAATTTGTATGTCAGCAGCTGCAATGCTGCATGTTTAATTTTTAAGAAGCCCAGCTATAGAGGTAGTCAAAAAAATGCAGGGAGAAGTAGGGGAACACAGCAGAATGTCACTATACAATGTCTTAAGAAGAGAGAGTAGTTCTATGTTGCTAGAACTCCTTAACATTTAAGTTGTTCAGCCTGCCTTTTTCTGTCCAGTGCCATTTACTATGAGGCCTTAGGCTCAGTTTTGAACTCTAACTCTACATTCACCTACCTCATTGGAAGTGGGCATTCAAGTTAGGGTTTTCTTCCAACTTTTCCAGTTCACTATGAGGAGGCAATTAAGCACAAATAGCTGAGCTCAAATTCATCTATCTAGCCGCCCTGCACTGCTGATTGATAAGACTCAAAAGCCTGCTCAGCCTCCCTACTCAATTTCTTTTGCACCAGCCTGCTGAAAGACTATCTACTTGCACTCTTAAGAGAGCAGCAACATCCATCCATGCCAAATGACAGTCTTTTCAGCTATGTACATCTGGGCTAAGACTAGTGCTGCACAGGACCCAGAAGTGACAAGTCTGCTGACACCACACTACCAACCGATTCAGCCCCACCACTCTTCAGAGCCTCAGAGCCTTTGAGCCAATGCCGCACAGTGCATGACAGTTGCATATAATTCTGTGGAATGAGTATGGTCACTTGACACACTGGCTGCAAACTTAAGATCCAATTTCACAGGAAGAGGGAAAGAAAAAAAGATAACATCTTCCCACTCTTCCATTGTCATTCTCAGCAAAATATATGACTACACACATTTACTAGCCAAAAACACCGAGTTGTACTTTGGTACAAGCAGCTGTAATTTTTGTTGGTGGGGTTTTTTGTTGGTTTGGGTTTGGTTTTTTTCTTCCCTCTAAACACAGCAGTCAGGAGTTGAAAGGTAATAGGTTTGAAAAGCTAGAGACTTAGAGTTCCTGAAAAATATGGCATGATTTTGAAATTAGATCATTTTTTGATTAATCAATATTCCTTTGATTAACTACTGGTAATTAAAATATACAAGTCGCAAAATATTGCACATATATTGCACATGAAAAAGACTGCAAGACAGAACACAATAAATGACCTAATGTTATTACAGTGAAATTGGATGACGAAAAATTCAGTAAGGACTCTTCACTTGATAATGCCACAAAAATACATCACTGTATGACTTTCCTTTTATTCTGTAAGTGGGTTCTTGACGACTAGGAAGCTTTGTTTGTTGATAGCTGAATTAACCATCTCTATTGTATTGAAGCTGGCAGGGATTTCTGGGTGAACAATAATTTAGAAAAAAGTAATCCTTAAAATACAAGAACCTCAAGATTCAGATTCCCATTATAAAGACCATCATAAGCAGAAGTTGCCTGAATAAATACAGGAATATTTTGTGTGTTGAACTATGTGTGTGTTTTGATTTGTAGAAGTGAAATCTGTTCAGCTTGTACCCTAAAAATCCAATTAAAAATAAGCAGAACTAGTTATGGATCTCCATAACTGTGTTTTATTACTCAAGCCACATGGCAGTGTGTTACTTGCTTTAAGAGACAATACACATCAAAAGTATGTTCATACACACACACTGTCTAAATAGGAATTATCTGGCATTTACCACACTATGAAGTAGTGAGAAAAGTCACTGATCTGCTAAAATACATCAAGCTATTAAAAGGTCAGATTTTGAGTCACTGAATGTTTTCTATACAAGTCCTTTACTGTAGCACAACTCCACTACCTATTGCTCAGATGAATAACACTGTAAAGATCCTAAGTAACATAAGCTGGAAAACAGGGTATTTAGCGACACTGTCACATCACAAGGATACATCAGCCACCAACTACTGAATCCAGTACTTAGCCAGCAGTTTGAAAACCTGAGGATGACAGCAGCCCATCTAACTTAAGAACCTGCCAGGTTTCCAAAACTAAACATGTTACAGTTGCCTATTATTTTTCTCTAAGAGATGCTACAGCAGCTGGCAAGTCAGACAAACAGCTTTTAGGAGACCATAATTTTGAATGTTATCAGACAGGTTAAAAACAGCACCTACAGTTAATTCACAAGATTTTCATGCTGTATTAGAACAGGCTTTCTGAAAGAGCTTGTAAAAAACATCAGAGCCCTCTTAGTCAAATGTGATGTTAAAAGTAACAAGGTATTTAGTGAGCACATCATCTGCAGTTAGTTGCCCTTCCAGATGCCACTAAATGAAACATACCTGGTTGTGTTCAACAACTCTTCTTTGTTTGAGTGCTACTGGAGTCTTCGTCCTGGCTTTCAATGGTTCTCTCTTCTCAAGCCTCAGCTCAGTCTTCGGATCTGTAATCAGTTTTAAGGTAACTAAGTTTCTATAATACTAATGTTTGTTATACTAGATTAAACCAATTGTATTTTAATAAAAACCCATTTTAAGAGGTGACATAACTCTGTTATGAGTTACCATTTCTTTCAAAAGTTGAGAGATACAGGTAAGTTTCTCCACTGAATGCAGAAGAACACAGACTTTTGAAGAGTAACCTTAAAAATAATTTTAAAACACTGATCCAAGTATTCCAGTTTTGTCCTAAAAATCCTACATTTCAGATAAGCTTTGACCTACCCAGCAGTTCCATTCAGAAACTGGTATTAAGTTGTAATTACTTTACCTAAAGTAACATTATACTATTGATTGCAGGAAGGGTATTGAAGCTTTTCAACATTGGTTAGACCATTTAGTTTCTTTTAAAATAGGTCCTTTTATATAAAATTTCTTTTTGATGTGGAAGTATGAATCATTAGCAGTCACCTTACCAGTAGGGGCATGTATTACTTCCACCCCCTTTCCAAAATTCTAATAGTATTACACCAACATATTCAGAGTTTACTTATATCCCTTATCTTTTTAAGCATTAATGTATAGAAACGTTAATTTTTTTTTGGCAGGGGGAGGCATTTTTTTCCCCCCCCCCCCCATGCTTGAACATTTTGGTAAATGAAGAAGCATATGTAAGTACAAGGAGATAGCTGTCAGTTGTGACTGGGCTCTTGGCTGTCCTAATAATAAGTAAGTCCCTAATATGCCTTCCCTCCCTGAAAGTAAGTGATTAAAGTTCAAAAACAAGCCCAAATATGCAAGGGAGATCCATCGAGTTCCTAGTTCTATATCACTGCTTTCTGTCCTATCTCCATGGAAGTTCTTATAGCAAAACAAACAAAAAACCAAACCACCACACTCAGACCCCCCAAAAAACCTATCCACCCCCAAAACCAAACCACATAAAATAAGCATCTGTTAACATTCCATCCAAGACACTCATTAAAGTATGCACTATTTTTACTTGTTGTAAGTTGTATGATGGTGTGTTTTAGGTTCCACTTCCCTCACCACTATACTTTTTTGATATAAACTTGATATTAAAACTGTAAAACCCACACCCAAGACCAAATAATCAACCTACCCCAAACTAAATCCAGAAGGAACAGAGCATAAAAGAAACTGAGTCATATAGGAGAGACATTAAACAACATTTTAAACGTACAGAAGTTTAATAAAGAAACATTCATACACTATCCCATAGTAAAGATAACTACTGTGAGCACCGCAAGACAAAATTCCCTTGCACTTAAAGATGAAGTGCAAAGAACACTGGAACACTTAATACAGAGCTCTCCTATCAGATTCAATGGCTCCAATCTGAGGAAAATGGACAAAAGGGAATAATTTAGTAGCAAAAACTTTCATTTCTCAGAACAGACACTTGGATCACTGTGCTATTACTGCATGATCAAGTACTACTCACATGGTCTACAGCAGTATCTTAAAGCCTCACCTAACAGCAAGATCATGCCCTCTTTAAGTATTTGTTCTACTGCAAGTACTGCTGATGTATATGAATAGATCACATGCAAGTTTCACTTAAGTCTTACCTTCTTCATTGTCACTGTACTGGTCAGAATCATTATTTCCATTCTGTCTGGTGTTCTCAGCAGTTGAAGAAAGAGCTGGGAGAGGCACAGGTGCCTTCGGTTCCAGACCTTGCTCCATCAATTTCAATAGTTTTTTCTCATAAAGTTTCCTAGTAGTAGCTACAACAAGGAAGGATACATGCTAAAGACACAGTCTTCATCTTTCCCAATTTGATTGCTAGAACTCAGCTGTTATGTATTCCTTGGGAATCTCTGAACATATGTTTTTGGTTTTTAATCTGTCTGTCTGGCCCAAAGCATATACATCTAGATATATAACTCCACCTCTAAGGCTTCTAACTCTTTGGTTGAAAAGAATTCTTAAGGTAAACCTGTCAGTACACTGAAAGTTACAAGCATTCATCTACGGAAAGGGAACTTACCTGCTTGTAAGTCATCTTGTTTCATATGCAATACACAAGTTGTTACACCCTCACAAAAAACTTAGTAAGCTTGATATTCCAGGGTGACAGTCTCCATGCAGATTCCACTATCCTCCTCTTAATCCCTTTACCCTGGAATTAATGCCTCTTACCCCTTAGCTTAACCTTTGTATTGTTGGCAAATTCAGTCCAGAAAGCATCAGAGGTGGTGCAAGTATGCAGCAACAACAGAACTTCCTGTTTGCTGCATGTAGCCATCAGGCTGGCTCACCTGATCCAAGAGGACAGCTGTTTAAAACTAAAAGGTATCAAGTCAAGTCCAGAACATCCATGTCAGGACTGTGCTGGCAAAAATCTGCAGAGGTGACTGGTGCCTGAGCTGTTAGCTGCAGTAGTTTACCCTTCGAAGGCTTCAGATCAGAGGACACCACCCTTAAAAAGAGGTGGCAGACTCTCACAAGAAACAGAATCCATACACTGTAAGAACTAAGGCTTTCACTTAGACCAAATTTGAACATCTTTCCAGTGGAATGCATAGGTACTTTAATTTTTCAGAAGGCTTGAGAGCTATCCAAGAGGAATAGATTGAACGGGAAGGCATACAGAAACAGCTAACAAAGTATTATGCACAAGACTTTGAACAGACACAGGACTCCAGGCTCCATCACTGATACTTCCATCCACCAAGGACTTCAGGAACATTCCACAGAAGGTTCACCACGCTACAGGCAACCATCTTTTTTTGAAAAGTTGTGAAATCAAAGTCCCTTGCCATTAGGCTAGTAGACAGTCTGAAAGGCAAGGGGCTTTGATCCCACATCACAGATGAGTGCCCAGGGCAGGAGATTAAGCTGGGGTAAGGACTTCTCCCAGTGTAGGTTAGCATGCAGGATAGAATGCTAGGTTCAAGTGGCCAGAAAAAAAAAATAGCAAAGGAAAGCATTATTGCACAATGCAGTGAGTAAGAAATGCTCTAGGGAAGGGGAGGTTCCATGTTCTCATTCTGCTCTCAATGCTATTAGGTTATTATGTAAGGCGTATTTTCTATTTAAGGAGGCCCTAGAACTCAACCTCTGTATCAGCAGACCTAATTACCCCAGCGCTGAACTTTAACTAATAGTTACACAGTTTCAGAACAGAAGTTGGAACATCTCCAGTTGGCCTAGAACACAAGAGGAACAAACTGTGGACTTGCCTACACTGTAATGTCTTCTCAACTCTTCTCAAAGTAAATAGTTCAATGAAAACATCTGAAGTGGGAAGTAGGATTACAATAGTATTGGTGCTAAACTTAATAAGCAACTGTATCAGAGAAGCTTAGAGTACTCAGAACTGAGTTTTAGTGAGAAATACATTGAACAGATGAATATTTTCTACTTCAGTTGACCTACCTACAATTGGGCCAGGATTTAGTCCATACTTCACAAGCTGCTCTTGAAGATCTTCATTAGTCATCTCTGTTATATCTAGGTCATCCTTCTCCTCTGGCCTGGGTTTGTCAGTTTTCTTCGTGGCTTTCTGCAAGTGTGCAAGGAAGAAACAGAGTGTTTCCAGTTAATACAGAACCTATCTTCTTCTAAATGAACAAGAAGATGTAAGAGTCCTAAACATACAAAACCAGAAAAAGTAATTATACTCTCCACCACCACTAAAGCCTACATAAAACTTCAAACATTTACACCTACTAAACAAACATACACAAGTTTCCTACTTAGATAAGGAAATACCCTTTACAAGCCTCCCCTATAGTTAAAAAAAAAAAACTTACTCATTCTGATCCTGTATTTTAATTTGAAGTTCAAGTATACAACAGGAAAGGATTTCTTTCCTGTGACTGGAGAGGCAAACTTTTAGCTGTTTCACCATCACTACACTAAGCTACAAATACTTATGTTCCATTGGCATTTCTTCGCATTATTCTTCCACCCAGTAGGTCAACACTTCTTCCTCTAATGATATACAACAAGTTCTTCAGTAGCCATATCCTTTCAACCAAGTTACCAAAATCCCCATTCCCACTTATTGTGGTGATCTCTGTAAGATTACACGATGTTATAAAGTGAGTGCAGGAAAGAAACCCAGAAACACCCTCAAATTTTCAAAATCCTGCCTGTCTGCTTGGGCCTCTGCTACCGTAGCTCTAACAAATCCTAAAACCAACTCTGGCAACACTACTCGAACAATTGGCAACACACCACCACCACATACAGATGGTTATCAAAATAATCTGCCAGGATGCTACTCTTAAATTAGCAGTTTCCACTATATCCAAACAGAGTGATCATAACATTTGTTCTGCTTGGGAAGCCTTTGTTACTACAATAGACATTGTAAGCTCCAAGATCTGCAAGCGAGTGAGAAGGTAAGACAGAAAAAATATGCTTAAGATCTCCGTTCTTTCAACTAAGAAAGATCTCGATATTGCTTTGAAGCAAGTTGTATTTGTTCTCAGAGTTGTAGGACACAAACAGATAAAACATCTACACTTTGCATTTTTCTCAACTTGGTCGATATGTAATAACACTCAGTCACAATAAACAGGGTTTTTTGTCTTGTTACATTTAGTAAGATAGCACTAAAAGACTGTAAGAAGACTGACATGAATCAACAGTATCTAGATAGCCATTAACAACAGTTCAATATTGGTTTGCATGCAAGCGTGGTCTTGCCTCAAGTGTCTTGATATTTTAAAGCTAAACAAGGACTGTACAAGGATTTCCCAAATATAACTGACTGCTTATTTAAATTAGATTTTCCTCTAACTCATGAATTGTGAAAATCCCAGTGTGATGAACTTAAAATCAGCTGCTGAAAAGCAAGAGAATCTCCATGAGCTATTTCTTTGTTCTAAGAAATAGACTCCAAGCAGCCTGAAGAAAGAATAGGGTCACTAGAATGGCAGATTTGACTAATGACAGATTTACAACTTACTTTATCTATCATTCTACTCCTTTATCACATAAAATCTAACTAGTTTTTGAAACAACTGAGTCTACTTATGAAGTACACAAAAACCAACCAACCTGCAGCTATAGGAGATCTGTGTTTCCTTTTCAATGTGTTGGTCATAATGCTATTTTAAGTTAAGTATCATATTTACAAGAATTTCAAATTCAGTACATTTTTTTCTGGACTACTGAACTGTCCAAACAGTGGAAAACAGTTCCAAAACAAATGCTGTGTTTTCTTGTTGGGATCTGTTTAGACTATTGACAGCTCTGGTGTTTGCACACATCACCAAGAAAATTAAGATGCTGCTTCCATATTTCAGAAGAAAACAACCACCATGGTGCAAGAAATGAACATTCCAATGGCACTTCAAAGAAACTGGATACCTAATTTATCTCTGCCTTTGTACCACCGAGAGGGCACAGAAGAGGCCACAGAAGAGACTATAACAATATACAGTCTGTGTTCTAGCAGAAGTTTTACAGAAATCGTAACTACCAGAAATCTAACTAACTAATGAGTAGTACGGTCCTCTAACACAACTAAGCTCACATATCTTATAGTATCTTTGTGGGTTTTTTCCTTCCAAGTACCATTTAATTTTTTTCTGCAGTATCACCACACATTGAGACCATCAGAACAGTCAGTTTCAGCAGAGAAAAAGGGCAAGGAGGGAATGAAAAGCTGAAGGTAACCTGTGTTCTTCAATAACACGGACAGATGCATTCCCTTGTGTTCTGTTAGGTCTTCAACTTTTGAATACCTATTCTCCTTAAAGCAGAAGCAAATTACTTCACTTGTGCAAGTAGAAAGCTGCCATTTAACCACTCATTGAACCACAAGATCAGTCCTTAGAAGCATAAGGCAGAAGAACTTCTCTCATAACTGGGCTGTAGTATGACACCATTAAACTCAGGAATAACATTAGCTTTAATTACCACTACTATTATAGTATAAAGCACCACTACACTTTCTGTGCATCATCACAACTTATCCATGGGACTACCCAGCGAGACAGATAAAAAAACCTAGATTTAAAATTTATCGTTGCAAATTAAAACTAAACAAACAAACAAAAAAACAACCCACACAGCCACATTTTCCTGATCTGGCGACCATTAGTAAAACTAAAGTAGTCTTACTGCGGTGCAGAGGTGAAGTGCCTAAAATGAAATTGTGGCAAACACCAGGATTTGCTGAAGTAAGGTGGTACAGCTGACCACTTGGTACATAATGTAAATATTCTTGCAACACTATACCCAGACCAATAAATCCTTATCTGAATATCTTCTAATTCCCTCCAGAGCTAGCAGCATTAAAAAAACATTTCTAGTAAATGTGATTTTCTAGAAAACAGAAGATGGAAGGAGATTTGCGTATTTCACTTGAGAGATTTGTTCACACCAAAGAGATCGCAATTTGGCAGTGGTATCTGTTAGGCTCAGTTTCAGATTAACTAGGACCTGACCCTTCAAACAAGTACTGAATTGAACTGTAAGCATGGGGCTCCCACACAGCATTCTCAGTTGTAGGGCCATAGGAAAACAAGAGCATAAGAGAAGTTCATCTTCTCAGCATGTCATGTCTCCACAGCTAAAAGCTTTAACCTTCTTTCACTAATAAGAGGAGCAGAAAACAAAAACTCTGAGAATTCAGACTTGGAAGCTCTCTGTTACATCATCTTTGGCATTCCGGCTAAATAAAAATTCAACAGCAACAGAACAGTTTATCAGACAAACTTCACAGTTACCTTTAACAGTTCTAGCACTACTCGACAAAACACAAGCATAAGTAACATCTTGAAGTACCCATTAAATAATATAACAGACAACTATTGGGCATCACCAAATGAAGCATTTTCAAATCCCAAGTTAAATGGCACCTACATTAGGATATTCAAGGACTTTAATCCCAAACAGGTGCAGCTTCATCACTAGAAGCAGAAAAGCTCAGGGCCGCTTTACTATTTCTCTGAATGAGGTTAAAACAGGCTAAGAAAGCCCAAATCATGCCAACAAAATGCTCTTTAATTCTCCAGTTTGTCCAGTGTCCTCTCTAGTAACAAATAACCGTGTTTCTCTTCAGGGAAGGGAAGATAAGGAAGCACACATGCCAAGTCTCAATAATCGACTTACACTGTGAAATACAGACGTCTATTCCCCTTCCACTTTTTATTCTATCACACACAAACATATCCTACAGTGAAAGTTGTTTTTTTTTTTTTTGAAAACCAAGTTCTACCAAACTTTTTAACCTCCAATGCCTTGAGACAATATTTACCAAAAGCTACAGGACAGACAAAATAAACAATGGAAAGGAAATTATGCAGCAGTAATTCAGAGATACTGATACACTCAACTTTAAGAATTCTCTACCTTTTAACCTTAGTAAGTGCCAGATTTATAACCTAGAACTGTTCTTGTATGTAGGCTTGAAAATTCTAAGATTAGGGACTACTTAACCCTTCCACACCTCCTTCCTCCCAGACACTAAATACCATGTTACTCAGTGAAGGGAACGTACCACTATGAAAACAGATGAATGCTGCATAATGAAGAGTTGTTTTTGAGAACCTAAGTGAAAGAGTAAAAACTGACAACAAAAAACAAACCGAGACACCAACCGAACAGACGGTCTCATGGCTCAATCAACTGAATGCTGACCTGGAGGCCTGGCTTGTATACGTGTCCCTTACTGAACAACTGACCTGCACTGCTAGACAAAAATTACTTCAACAGGATTATTCATTTAAATACAACCACTGTCACTACATCAGCACTCTAAGAAGCATGTGTCCCTAGTTCATAAGTCTAGAACTGCAGAAAGTCTGAGGATCCAGAACAGCATGGCAGGACTTCCCACTGTAGCGGAAATTTGACTCAGTCACCTCACCCTGGCTGCCCACAGCTGTCACTCACACAGCAGATGAGTGCCATTTAAAAGGCCACAAAGGCATGAATTTGTATTCTGGGTCAAATTTATACAGCACTTCATACTTAAGAGATACAGCCACACAGGGAATACTGAATAGATTCTCTTCCTTCAGCAGGCAGCACATATGCTTTACATTCTCTCAACTAACCGAGCATGTAGTTTCACCTTCCACACTCCTAATCTTAGTAAACTACCAATTTTACTATTACCTTCTCTTTTCCAATAGGGAATAGGTTGAAGCCATACAGTTACCTCAGCTACAGATATTATCACTGCCACACCATTCTGACCATAAAGAGCTGAAGCTAGCTCTTAATTTACTTGGCTACTTGTTTAAAACAATACAAAAAAACCACCAACACTTTTACCTGATAGGTCTGTTCCATAAACTTTCAAACAGGCCTTTCAGGTCCAGATGCTCTCATCATACCTTCCTCAACAGAACTGAGGAGGAGACATCCGACTGATCTGTTTCAAATCACTATTTTAAAGCTCAAAAACATCACTCTGTTTTACAAGAAATTCTTCCAGGACATGAAATTCACCAACAAGCTAAGTCATAAAAACCACACATCCCAAGCTCTGAACAGCTCCTGTTTGGCAACAGTGTCAAGATGATATTTTTGGTATGTGCT